AGACTGCTCCAATGTAGACGACCGCCCACGCAGACCGAACCATCAATTAGGATTGGTTTCAATTGGTAAAATTGTCCGCGTTTACTTCTGTCAGAAGGCAAACTCTGGCCGCTACATAACCGCTCTAATTCTTGACCAAACATTCCGCTGGAGCCATTCCCACAACCTCTTGACAGCTGTCTCTCAATTCTTGTACAGGTAATAGCCCTAAACGCACCGGTAAATCAGTTCAGCCACTCGCAAAAACAAGTAAATAAAGTTTATATCTCAGTAGCCACGCAACGCATCGCAGCAATTTAAGCCAACAGGAGAATCTTCTGAAATATGGCAGACAATCACGGCGACAGAACGCACGGATAACAACCTTTGACTTCAACTCCAAGCCTTCAACTAAAACCGATGGACACTCGAAATAGTTCAGTACTATTCCTCCCTGTTCACGTAAAAGGGTTGAGCCTTCAAACCATAACTGTTTGTATCTGTCGCCGGTTTTCATTCTTCGGGACGCGAGATCCGCAGGATTATTGTGGTGATTGCGTATAAACCGAACATTCTTGTTTCATTACATGATCGATTGCTTTGTACAATTTCGGCGCGTAATACAAAAAAGTGACCTCGAATATTCTTGAGTTCTATTCCATACTGCGTAATAGTTCAGTTGGAGCTTAATTGCGCGGATTACTGCGGTTCAATTCCAGATACCAAGTACAGATTACCACATTTGGCGTCGCGGCCGGTTTTTATCTCATTATGGACACCTGCAACTTGGAAATTCTCGATATTCATTCGAACTCGCGTTATGTAGAAGATTATTTGGAGCGTTTTGAGATTTGGTGTCTCACCCGCAAAAGTCTGGACGCCGAGAAGAAGACAGCACATTTTCTGTCAGCTGTTGGGAAGGAAGCTTATGCGCTGATTAAAAATTTGGCATTCCCAGAGTCACCAATTCAACTGAAGTATGAAGAACTCAAGGATTTGTTACTAAAACACTTCCAGCCAGTCAACTTCGAAGCAACTGAGCGAGCAAAATTTCATTGCCTTGCTCGTGATCCTAATTAGTCTGTCCGAGACTTCATTCTTCAGTTGCAGACTCAGGCTGTACGCTGTAATTTCAAAGATCAGCTTCAAACTCAGCTCCGTGATAGACTTATTGCTGGAATTAACTGTTCTGATCTACAGCAGCAGTTATTAGTTGATTCCAAACTGTACATTTCAAACCGCAAAGGTGGTCTGTGAACAATATCAGGATGTACGTGCGGCCGTACGTGAGGAGCCGAAAGTATTGTTCAGTCACAATCGTGGGTCACCGCTTGAAGCTCAACAGACGCGGCAGTTCGAAAGTGTCAACAAAGCTGTTAGTTACAGTCTGACGTCCACACAATCTGCAAATAATAACATCCACCACTGGAACCCTTGCAAATCATGCGGTAGGCGACACTCTCGACTGACTTGTAAATTTCGCAATGCCAAGTGCCACAAGTGTGGTAAGTCTGGGCACCTCCAGTCTGTTTGTCGAAGCACACATAACTGTTTAACACAGAACTTAGTCCCTGATTCATGCTTGTCTACCGACTTTCAGTCTCTTGCTCTATCCGTTAACAGTTCCGATCAGTCTCAACACATTACACGTAAATTCGCACTCAATCATTGTTTTCGGCATTCATTAATCATAGACACAGGCAATGTGAATTCGTTTATTTCAAAGACTGTTCTTCAACGTTTGAAACCACGTGTGTATTTAAACACCACTGACATTTCGGTTAAAGGTATAACTGGTCATAATCTTCCTGTTTTGGGTTCGTGTGAACTACTCCTGATGATGAACAGCACACATTCAATTGTTTCTTTCTTGTTATTGATTCGAACATTTCCATCATTGGCCTCGATTCTATGAAACGCATGGAACTTTCTCTTTCACTTTTTGCCGATGATCAAAAGTTTTGACTACGTCAGTTGGTTCTTAAATGCTCCAACAATAAGGGTGGAATTAAAATGGCCCCAATTCACTTGGAAGTTGATGGTTCCCCAATATTTCTGAAACGTCGAATTATACCATTGGGTCTCCGTGAGCCTGTAAAGAAAGTTTTGGACGATTTAATCGAGAAGGGTGTATTAATGCCTATAGATTCCTCTGTTTGGGCTACCCCTATTGTGGTTTTGTTGAAAAGTGATGGTAAAACACCCAGAATTTGTGGAGATTACCGTATCACAGTCAACATATACTTAAAGCAAACTATCTGCTCAACCATTGAACCCGAAGATATCCTCCATCAATTTCATGGATCAAAGTTCTTTTCCAAATTAGATTTAAAGGATGCATTTCTTCAGGTACCACTTGATGAGAATGCTAGCGCATTGACCACAATTAATACACCATTTGGTCTATTTCGTTATAATTTTTCCCATTGGGTCTCAGTGTTTCACCTGCTATATTTAAAAATGTTGTGAATTCTCTTATCTCCGGTTTGGATGAAGTTTCAACTTAACAAGATGACTTCATCGTTCATGCACCAAACAAAAAACTACACGATAAGCGTCTGTGCTTACTATTTGAACGGTTCAATATCCATAATGTTGCTATCAATGCGAATAAATGTACATTTTCTACACCAAAATTTCCTAGTTTGGTTTCCTTGTTGGTGAACATGGTTTCCGTCCTGATCCTACTCGTTTTTCTTCTCTTTCTAACGCACCTTCTCCCAAATCAGTTGAAGCACTTGGTTCATTACTTGGTTCACTTTAGTATTGTTCTAGATTTCTTCCATATTTTGCTACAAAAGCAGAACCACTGTTCACACTTGTCTCACAGCAAACATTTCAATGGACACGTATTCATGAAATCACCCGTAGAAAGTTACTAAGTTTTCTTTCCACTGATGCAGTTTTACATGCTTTTTCACCTAAAGCACATTCGAAAGTAATTACAGACGCATCACCAGTTGGCACTGCAGCAGTGTTGGAGCAGAACGGTCATCCAGTTCTATGCATTTCTCGCAGATTCACTCATGCTGAACGTGGTTACTCCCAAACACATAAAGAGGCTCCTGCAGTATATTGGGCTATTACTCGATTGCACAAATACTTATATGGCTCACATTTCACAATTGTATCGGACTACGAGGCATTGAAGTTGATTTAAAATCCACACCGATCTCTGGCAAAGTCATCAGCGGCCATGTTACAGCGATGGAGCGTCACACTAGCCGGTTATTCTTACGATATTCAACATCGCAAGGCTCATTTGATTCAACACGTGGACTATTTATCGCATTATGCTTTGTCAGAGGAGCCTGGTACATCTGATTGTTTTCTGATACAACCACTTCCTGTTAGTCAATCCGACCTAGTCTGAAGGACTACTACCATGCAGTCATTTCTTGTGTTCAACACGGTTGGCGAGCTGACACCAAGCGCCGGTTCCCAGAGTTTTCTAAACGCCGTGAAGAACTCTCAGTCACTAGTGATGGAATATTATGTCTCAATGACCGAACAATCATTCCTTCATCTTTATGCTCCGCAGTGCTGAATGACTTGCATTCGGGACATCTCGGTATTGAGAAGATGAAATCACTTGCACGTTTGACTTGCTGGTGGCCAGAGCTTAACAGTGATTTGCGTCGATTGGCCAGATCATGTACTGACTGCATCCACAAAGCTCGCACATAACCATCTAAGTGGACTCCTTGGCCAATGTCTTCTGAACCCTGGCAGCGAGTGCATGCCGATTACTGTGGTCCATTCCTAAACAAATACCACGCGCTAGTGATTATTGACTCTTATTCACGTTGGCCTGAGGTTTATTTCACTACGTCACCCAACGCAGAATTCACTGTAACTGCTTTCCGGAAAACTTTCAGCCGGGAGGGTGTTCCACAAGCTGTCGTCAATGACAATGGTAATCACTTCGCAGCAAAGAGTGTGACGGATTGGTTGACATCCATTGGCTGTCGATATGTTCTAACTCTACTTCGACATCCACAGTCAAATGGTGCAGCAGAAAACTTCGTCCGGATATTGAAAAGTGCAATTGCATCCTGCCACATCTCTACATTCACTGATTTAGACAGAGGTGTTGATAATTTCCTCATGCAGTACAGGAATTCAACTCATGCTGCTACCGGGAGCAGTCCGGCGAAACTATTCAAAAATCGTATACTACGTACCAATCTTCTCAATCTGGAATCAGCTGAAGTGATTTATCATCGTGGAAATGATCTACGTCCTTCGAGAGGATTGATGTTGAACCAAATTGGTCAAAGAATGTATCAACTTCTTGACTTAGATAATGGGTCAGTCCATCGCAGACGTAGCGACCAAATAATTTATAACACTCCCAATTCAGATTGGGAGTGAATCTTCCGAAAGTTCCATTGAAAATCCTCGACGATCCGAACGTTTACGTTTCGAAGAAAGACCTGATTACAACAACCCCGAGCTTCATTCAAGCTGCGGTGGATGTGGTGATTGCGTATAAACTGAACATTCTTGTTCCATTACATGATCGATTGCTTTGTACAATTTCGGCGCGTAATACAAAAAAGTGACCTCGAATATTCTGGAGTTCTATTCCATACTGCGTAATAGTTCAGTTGGAGCTTAATTGCGCGGATTACTGCGGTTCAATTCCAGATACCAAGTACAGATTACCACAATTATCCTTTCAGCTGATGTGCCTCCATTAATCAACTACCGTCCAACCCTTGATCGTTGAAATTCTGTTGGACACGAACGTTGAAAATTGACTTTTAGCATTCCTCAGATAATGCAGGACTATAGCAGAATCAGTCCAGTGAATTTCATCAGCAAATGTCATCTCACATTCCTTCTTAACTATCTGTGCTAAATAAACAGCAAGCACGGCAGCATTCAGCTTCAATCGCGGTATACTTACGGTTCGTAATGGAGCGACCCGAGATTTGGCAATTACCATTACGCACAAAGACGGATTACGATTCTGCACAAAGCGTAAGTAGCATGCTGCTGCGTATCCAAGTTCAGACGCATCACATGAGGTATGCAACTCAACCTTACCTTCAGTCCCTTTTACGGCGCGAGCATACCATCTAGGTATTTGAACTCGATGAATTTCACTTATAATCTCCATCGACTGTCGCCATTCTTCAATCACCTGTGGGACCAAACGTTGGTCCCACCCTATGGCTTGTTAAAACAACTTCTAGAATAAGATTTTCAACGGGAAAATATAAGATCCTATCCACCCTAACGGATCAACTATGGAGGATAGCTGAGACAAAAACACCCTCCGAGTAGGTGGAGGTTCTGGCACCTCAAACTGAAACGCAAACACATCCTGACCTACTGTTCATGATTAACCTAAAGTTTGCTGTGTCGGCAAACCGTCGATTTCCATATTTTTACTGACGTACTTCTCAAATTGTCAGGAATCCGATCTAAAACCTCTGGACTGTTGCTTAACCACATTGTTAGCTTAAAACCGCCTTGGCTCAATAAACTGCACAAGCCTTTAACCAGAGAAATGGCTTCATTCTCGTCCATAACGGATTTCAGGAAATCATCCACGTAAAAGCTATTCAGAAACGCTTGAGAAACATCCAGAGGATACTCGTGCTCGAAAGGATTACCCACCATTTTTAAAGCGAATCTCGCACAAAACGGTGATGGCACAGCGTCAAACAGATGTACGGTGAGTCTCATTTCCTCTGGATCTCCCCTTATTTCACCATTGGGATACCATAAGAAGCAAAGTGCACCCTGATCCCTTTCTGGTACCCACACCTGCAGAAACATATCTTTGATATCTGCTGACAAGACTATACGTCCTTATCTGAACCGTGTTAAGATTTCAACCAAACTGGACACCAGATTAGGACCACACACTAAATGATCATTTAACGACTCACCATTAAACTTCGCCGCACAATCGAAGACGACCCGAACCTTATCCGGATTTTTCGGAGTTAAAACAGCGTGATGGGAAAGCTACCAACATAATTCATCCGGGTTTGAACTTTCTAACACAGGTTTTGTGTAACCCTTTTGGATATACTGAGATATTACAACTGAGTATCTCTCTCGGA